ATTATAGTATTATTATTATTATTATTATTATTATTATTATTATTATTATTATTATTATTATTATTATATACCTATATTATTTTTCCATACCATGACTTCCTTTTCTAAGAATTTTTAGTTATAGCCACCTTCAGCTACTCGTTCTTGTGCTTTCATCAACTACATTGATTCCGGGCGTGTCAACTGGCAAGGTAATTACTTCCGTAGGTGCAGTACATGTTTTCATCGCGAGAGGAGGCTATGACCTTCCCAAGCTGCTTGCCGAGATCCGGCTCCGACCCGCGTCGACTTGAGGATTTTCCCCAATGAGGCATCTCCCACCAGAGGGGCACCGCCCCGATTGCGACAAGCTTCCAGCTCCCTGATGGAGGAGGGAGGAAAGATCGCGCGCGGTCCGCGGCCCGTTTGTTAGAGTACTTTTCCGGCATTCGCCTTTGAGAGACAACGTAAAACTACCTACTACTGTGTGTGTCTGTGTTTAAATATTCATAAAATGAACTAAATACACATCTGACATCAGACAAAAGCATGATACTATTACTTAATCTTTCAAGTCCTCTAAAAAATGCAGAGGAAAGTACTGGTGAGTGTCTTACTGCAAGCTGCAGTTCAATTTATATCTAAATAACTTCACTGCAAATAATTGTATTAAATTTAATGATTATTTCAAGTATTTAATAGATTGTACATTTTCTTTTTATTCAATAAAAAACAAGATTCCAAATCAATTTAATTTAATATATAATATGAAACATAATTTTAGGAACTCTTAATATTACAACATGTTCATTATCCCCATATCGCATACCTATTTTATAACATAATATCACTGATAACATCACTACGTATTAAAATTGAAAATATCTAAAATGGAGAAAACTACTTTCACAGAATATTCCGCATGTTACCCTAGGATTTAAGATTTTCCCGTAACATTAATGAAGTGTTTCAGCGAAGCACATAACAAAGCATGAGTGTCGTTATGGGTAAAATACTAATGCAGTGCTCCCAAATTTCCTTCACTTCATTGCATAAATTTTACGATAAACTCTCAAATTACAGCAATAACTCGACGCAAACAGGCAGCGAGAAGGCTTAAAGCGGCGTGCTCTCTCCCCAGCTCATGCGAGCGCCCGTATAAAAGATTAAGTGCTCAGGACGTGCGGATTAGGAGCAATTAGCGCGGCGGGCGAGAATTCCTGCGTCCGCTGCGTGACGCACGGGACGGCGCTGCTCGGACGCACAGCTCCTCGAAATGCACGGGCGCGCGCAGCGCACGTCATTTTTTTCATTTCACGTCGCGTCGTTTCTTTCCCGCCCAACCTCGCACTTGAGGGTGACAGCAGCACGTGATGAAATGTTCTGCAGTTGCGGAGTTCTGAAAGCGCGAACAGGATCTAGAATGGGTGTTACAACAGTTTGATTGAAGGTCTGAAGGGAACTACGTGACGTTTTATTGTTTGATTTAATCACAATAAAGTTTTCTATACTGTAAAGAATGTGGAAGTAAAATTTTACCTCTCCATGAGCATTCATGTGATAAACCAGTAATGGAAAACTTGTTTTTTTTCTTAAGTTACACCAGGCTTCGTCATTTCCCGCTCCCGGCTCGCGATCACTCCAATAGCGTGCCGGCGCAAGTGGTGTGTCGTGTCGAAATCAAAATCTGCAGATAAACTACAGACAGTTAGTTCGGTATCAGCCCAATCACCCATCTCAGTTAGTTTATTAGTATCTGCTGGTGCCGATTATTTCTATGTATGACACAGTTTCCCTGTTTACGACATATGTTTCCGAGAAGAAACAGAGGATTGTTAAGTCCGGGAAATGTTAACTTATGCAGCAGTCTGCGATTGATGAATTGAAGTAATTTTATTAGTACATTGAAATTAAAAATAACTCTTTAAAAAAATAGACGCTGAGATTCTGAAAAGATTTGAAGTAACTCCATGGCACGTCCAAAAAATTAAAAATGATTCACGAAATACGAAAGCATACTACTTCTACCTCTCCCCTCAATTGAAATAAATGTGCAGTTTGTGAATAAATGTTTCAATGATTAGACACACATGTACATAGAATTCGTGCCAGCAATTATTTCTGAAAGATTTTATCTACTCATGATGCAAAAATAAAGAGAACTGCAACAGATATTAACTCTGAATGGCTGGTCGAAATATGACTTAACCTCACTTCATTATACCATATACTCGATCTAGTGCCTTGTGGCAGCTCCACTATAAAAAGAAACTATTGCAACGAACGCACGCGGGGTGAGAAGATTTATTACGTACGTTTGTTAACACTACGTAGATATAACGCCTTAGAGCCATATTATCTCTTTAATCACCGCGCAAAAGTAACTAAGAGCTGGTGTCACTGAAGAGGTTTATGAACGCAGCCTTTTACAGCACAAAATCATTACCTTTCAGATAAGATGCAATGACAACTCTGAATCTGATTAGCAAAGCAATTTGCATCTTGGTGTTCTTCTAAAAAATTTTTTTTTTTATTACGATATAATGTCCTGCGTTCCGAAAATATTATTTTACTTCTTTAATTACGAATACAAACTATTACTTTTCTTACAATCAATAGAATCTGTTTTAATGAGCTAAATCTCTCATTTAGTAACCGCATGTAATGAAACGCCCTAAAAGATTTTTTTATAAAATAAAAATACTATCAAAAACAGTACTATCAAAATTATAACTAAATACAATGCAGTTTCTACGATTTTTGATCTTTTTAGTGATTTTTAATGCCGAAATCTGATGCATTGCCTTTGAAACTAAAGGTATAAAAGAGCTTCAATTAAATTTCTGATGACTGATGCCCCCAAGAAAAACTTTGCTTCTAAACCTACATTGGCCGTTTTCCCATTTTCCTTGTCCGGTGTGGTGTTTTGGACAGAAACTGCCGAAGAAGCAATTGATTTATATGCGTTGAGTAAGCGTTCATTTCAATTGTAGAATAAATCCTAAACGCTTGGTCATAGATGGAAATATGCTTATGTACACATACATGTATACATAATTAAATGTATAATTAATGTATACATAGATGAAATGATTCCATAAAGTTAAATACTAGACGGTTTAGTTCGTATTTTATAGCCTTAAAATTCTACAGAGCTCATTTTAAACTCGACACCTCCTCTCAGTGCAGCACTCCTTGAAGAATGGGCCGCCATTCCCCAAGAAACCTTCCAGCACCTGATCGAAACTATGAGTGGAAGCTGTTATTAAGGCTAAGGGTGGGCCAAGACCCTATTGAATTCCAGCATTGCCGATGAAGGCCGCCACGAACTGGTAAGTCATTTTCAGCCACTGTGTCCGTATAATTTTGATCACATAGTGCATATTTTTAATGTTTTGTCCCCAACACAAAACACATTTTCTCTTAAAATAACTCATCCGCAGCTAAACCGCTCGGTTACCGCGCTGCCGGGCGAGCCAGAGGCGGCAAGCGGCCGAAGCCTTCCTCGCGTCCTGCAGTTTTGCGAGCGCAGCGTGATGCATCGCCTGCCTGCGCCACAAGCGGCGCGCGGCCGCGGGGCGGAGGTCAATATCGGGGCGGCGGCGCTTCCGCGATGTGGCGGCGCCGAGCCGCGGGTGGCGCAAGCGCTGGCGCAGACGGCGACGACGACGCTCAACCGGCGAGAAGCTCTTCAGAACGGTGCCTGCCAGCGACGACAGCGCGGCGGTTGCGAAGAGAGGTAGCGGCAGCAGCAACCGAGGAGAACGCACGCAAGAGAGGGAAAGAGATGTGAAGAGAGGGAGAGAAATAGGATGGTAGAGACTTGGCAGGAGGGAATTAGTGGTGGTGGAAAAGGGAAATGAGTCAGAAATAGTTTTCGAAGAGTTGGTGGCTTTGGAATTCATTGAGTGAGTATTGATTGCAGGCGCCTCTTCTACCGAGGTAATTAGTCCCGTAAGAGGGGTGCATGTCACGACAGAAAGGTGAATGCATGCTTCTCTGTAAAGGGAAGGAACGGCCGTCAGCTGGTGAATTTATTTCCTCTTCCAGGTATTTCCCCCAGCGAGTGGTAAGCTTTGAGCTTCGGTCTAGTGTCCCAAGTGTGGTGACGTACTGCATGTAAGTGGATGTCACTGTTTATAAGGGGCGAAGAGGGGCTAATATTAAGAAAGGGAATATCGCGTGCAGTCCGTGTCACGTTGTTTCGAATACAGATCTGATAATCACCTAGCGTTGATCATAGAAAACATGGAACACCAACGGTCAAAACATCTAGCCATTCCAAGCTCCAGTTATTCAGGTAGAGTTGAAAATATGCCAACGACACGGACACGGATCCTAGGACCTCCCAGTCGAAGATGCCACAGACTCAACAATGAGCTATGGCAGCCGCAGGTGATGGTGCGATGGAGGCAAAGCTATGGTGGAGGAGTTTAAAAAATGATGCAGATAATGACAGCAGCAAAGACGGTTTCCATGTTATTTTGGCGATGGCATTGAATTTAAATTATGAGGCGAATGAAGGAAGGTATTATTAGTGGTAGTGGTGACAAGCGATAGCAATGACGGTGACGATGCCAAGAACAGTGTGGCCAAAAGCGGTGACTGTAAAAAAGTGGAAGGCGTCGGCAATGGAGGTGGCGGCGACGTCTGAGAGAGTGTTGGGGTCGATGGCGCAGAGGTGGTGACGGTGAGGTAGGAGAGGGTGGGGGGAGGAGATGAATGTGGCGCGGCGATGGATAGGGTGAGGGTGGAGGCACCGGTGGTAGAAGTAGTGGCGACGGCGGCAGTAGCGAAATAACGCTGACTCAACGCACATAAATCAATTGCTTCTACGGCGGTTTCTGTGCACAACGCTCACTTCACGAAAAAAGGAAAATGCGAAAACGGTAGAGGTAGGTTGAAAAGGAAAGTTCTTCTTGAGGACATTGTCATATGAAATTTAATTGAATTTCCTTTATACTTTTAGTTCAAAAGGCAATGCGTCAGTAGAGTTCGGGATTAAAAAATTACTAACATGATCAAAACGTGTACGAACTGCATTGTATTCAGTTATAATTTTGATAGCTCAGCTCGCTATTTAGTTATAGTTTTGTTCATCTCACATTTTATCGTAATTGCAATTTATGTGAAGGTAAATTATTTAAAAAAAACTTTTTAGGGCGTATTCATTTTAATTTTCCCCTCAATCCCCTTTAACTGTTATCATGAATTTGAATCACATATAAGGCACGTATACGGTAGAGTCGATTCCATGTAGACATACATATAACAACATTTGTTATTTTCTATATTCATTGTTTCTTCTGGAAACTAGAAAATAAAGATAACTTAAAACACCTTTCCGCAAAGATTGTAACTGAACATAATTGAAATATATACATATAAACATACATAAAGAAGCTCACTTTTAATTTTCTATATATTTATATATGTATGGGTGGAACCGTTCTTTACGGAAATGTAATGCAACTTGCTGGCCTGCTAAATGCTAGGATTATTTTATATGTATGGATCAAAATTAAGAACTAACACGTGTTTAAAGTGCTCATAATATGAAAATATGGTGTTGATCTATATTTTTACAATTTAGTTAGCATATATTATTTTCCCAGTATAACGTTCATTGTAGTTTCAATAAAGTGAACTTAAATTTACATTATTAAAAATTATAATTTCCTGTTTACTAGAAATAATTCAAAAAATTCATTTTCGTTGTCTGAGTTACGGTGCTGTGAGATTATCCTTGATTGGTTTCAAGTAAGTGAGCGATAGAAGTGGTTAAATTGAATGACTGTTGGGAGATAAAGCGTCTAGTTTCCCTTCAGTGCTTTAGACAATGTTTCGCGAAGAAAGAAGGAGAGTAAACATCAGTTAACTGGAAGATGATCGAGAGAGAACATCGGTTTGCTGGAGGAAAACGCTCGATGGGTTTGCTGGTGACGCACAAGGACAGAGAGAAGCAGTGGATGAAGGATGGAAATGGATGGAGAAGAGAACGTTAGAACGAAAGGGAATAGGAGAGAGGAAAATGCTGAATCGAGAGCGCGCAGTGCCAAGTCGAGGGGCAGAGTTGCGGAGGCGGCTGGTGAGGGGCGACAACGCAGTCGCATGGAGCGCAGTGACGGGCGAGCGGCGCACTGGGCAGCGAAAGGCTCGCGTAGAGACTGAGGGAGAGCAAGTGGTCTCCCGCAGAGGAGAGGGGACAGGCGCCAGGGTGCTGGCACAGGGTGAGGGGTTTTCGCGACACGGTGGAGACTATGGAACATGCTGGAGCGAGGACGCCGCAGCGGGGACGTCGGAGCGTGAACCTCGGAACATGGACACCGGAGCGTTGACGACGGAACGTAGATGACGAACAATCATCACTGGAGCGTGGACGCAAGAGAGTATACGCTGGGCGTGGATGTCCGGGCGCGAACGCTTGGGCGTGGACATCGAGCGTGGACGCCGGAACGTACATGCAGAACCGTGGACGCCGGAGCGTTGTCGCCGGAACGTGGAGAACACAGCGTGAAACGCCGGAGAGGGAACGCGTGATGTTCAAAACGGATGGGCTTTAAGTGGAGGGGCGGGCGCCACGAGGGGTGGAGGGCGGGCGAGGTCTGGCGGCGCCCAGCCACCGCAATTGACGCGCCGTGTGCGCTGTGGCGTGTGCGGGCCGGCGGCGTTGGCGGCGGCGGCGGCGGCGGCGCGTCGCGACGCTCTGGAGCCCGCCATCGAGCGCTGGCGCCGCGGCGCCGCCCCGGCGACTCCCAGCCGCCGCCGCCGCATAGAACGTGTTCCGGCGGAGAGAAAGAGGACACGCGGTGTGAAGTACACGACGACCATACAATCAATCTTCGAGTCGCTTTGTGATTTTGCATAAAACGTATTCGCGCTGAGGCTGTTCACCCGGAAAGTATTGACAAGAGATTTCAACAGGCATCTAAAATTCATTTGACTGGAATGCAGATATATTCGAAAATCGATCTCTAAGTTAACTGGACAACGATATTTTCGAGACAACCAATCTAAAACAAATAGAAATTTATTTATGAAATCCAATATTAGAGTGTTATTCAATAAGTAAAATTAATACGATTTATACCCGTACATAACTTGTCCAGATTACAAATACAATGTTTTATGTGAATACGTCTTTCTTTCGATTGAAGATAGTACATATTTATGCGTAAAGAAACAATATCATCATTGTTAAATTGTTGTGATGCATGACGAGATTATGCAAAAACTAAATTAAATTTTACTGTAAAGAAACAATGTGACAATTTTCATTAAATTCTTCATCTCCTTTTTCCAATCACAATTAGTTCATTCTTGAATTTTACTCAATGTACAATTTTTTGTTTTGCGACTCAACACACAGAATATTATTACAATGTATCTGAGAGTTTCACACAGCATCAGCAAGTTTCGCTTGGGAAAACTTACGTAATTCGTACATTTTGTGTGTACGAACTAGACGATCAAATGCACTTTCATTACGTCAGTGTTCTGG